ACGTATATAAGCATGGTTTGGGGTCACAGTATGGGAGAGCTTTATAAGTCCACCGATGTACTTGTTCGTATGTGCATGTGATATGTACTAGTATTGGATTACCTTGTCCGGCGTGTCCTTGTAGGTGCACTAACTGGCCATATGTATTTCTATACTTACATCTAGCCGTACGTAAGCATGTATCTCCACAGCATGGTACATCAATCTGTACAGATGATCATTACCATGTGAAGAAAGTTCGGAACTGGATGGGGTAGATGACTCATCGGATAGAGACGAGTGCGGGCCTGTAGTATTGCCACGTACGAACTGGTGGGGTGGAACAGACACGCTTGTGTATATAACACACACACACATGGTTATGTATATAAAACACACACACATGGTTGTGTATATTACACACACACACATGGTTGTGTATATAACACACACACACATGCTTGTGTATATAACACACACACATGGTCGTGTATAAAACATACACACATTATTCTGTATATAACACACACAGACATGGTAACGCACAAGCATGAACATGTGCCAGCCATACCATATGTTGGAGGTCCCTGGACATTCAGGGTTATATATATATATATATATAGTGACAACCTCGATATAGTAGACTATGCTGGCTGAGAGTACACAACCATCGCAGCCGTCTTGCACAACCAGGGGTGTATTGCGGTAGGTGTAGCAGCACGAGTGCACTCAAATGACCCTTCTAAGTATCGCACTGTAGTACTAGGCGCAATGATACTTGGCAGCGCCACCCACCGGACAGGCAACGTGAAAGCTCTGTACTACTTACAGGAGAGGAAACGGCGACAGACAATGAGTAGTTAGTTACAGGAGAGGATAAGGTTGCAGATGATGGATAGTTAATACAGGACAAGACATATGAGAGTGACGAGCCGTTGACAGGTGGGGGGGTGTGTCCATACAACCCTATGGCTGTGTTGTGTGTCTGTGGGTTATGTAGCCCATGCGGTCTGATATCCCACAATGCTTTGCTTGCCACACTCTGTTTGTGCAACAGCCGAGAAGCAGTGTATGGGTGCACATACTACGCAGAGGAACTGTTTAGCATAGGGTGTGTGTAGCTAGTTGGCTTGGTGATATGGACTGACGGAAGGAGAACATACCTACACAGACGTTTCTGTGCACTTCTCTATATATAATGATTCCCACTGCAAGGCTGTGGCGCCACTCTCTGGTGTTGATGTTATGAATATGTATGGAATGGCATGGTCAAAGGTATATATATATATATATTTATATTATATATATATATATATATATATATATATATATATATATAATAATAATATATATATATATAATAATAATATATAT